AAAAAAATTGGTGCGGGCCCGGCGTTTGGGCTGGTGGAAACCTGGTTTGATACTATTTTTTTCGTCCGGTCAATGCTGGTTTGATACTATTTTTTTCGTCCGGTCAATGACCGGGCAACCTGCTCGAGCATTTAGGAACGATATGGGAGTCTGGTTATACATAATCTTGTGGCATCAGATCTCCTAAATAAGGATGAACATTAATGGGGCACATCCATTTCCTCCATCAGCGCCATCGTACATAAAACCGTGCGCCATGCATGTAAATATGGACAGATGGAGTATTTCTATTCTGTAAGCTCCAGAAAAATAAGAAATCATAAAATTAATTCTATAAGCTCCAGAAAAATAATAATTCAAGGCAATTCTATAAGGAAACAAAATTTCCGTCCAAACATATTTGCAAAGTTCACTGATTTGAAATTGCAGGTTCCAAGAGTTTATTTGGTCGATCCAAATGATCATGGACTCGCAGCTAGAGCAGTTACCACGTTAGCTACAACATGGTGGTTATGGCGAGCGCGATGGAGCAGCCCTTGGAGAACTCAGCGTCCTCGGCGGCCAGCGGCGACACGACGCCCAGCTCGCGGAACCTTTCCTCGCAGGTGTCCGTGCCCAATATCACGGCCGTGAGGTTCGTCTTCGCGTCCTGCAAATTACCCGACTTGACGCCCTCCGCGGCGGCTTCGAGCCATTTCAGCGCCGCCGTGTAGTGCATCCGGCAGTCGGAGAGGCGCCCGCTGACCTTCTTGTCCGTCACCGAGGCCTTGAGGGCATCGATGCGCTTGCGGGTGTTCGCGGCCTCTCCTCGGGTGATCTTAGTGGCGATGACGACGAGGCCGTGCCTGTCCGCGGTGGCGCTGGCGCTGTCGCCCTGGAAGAACTTGATGCAGTAGTCGTAGCCGATGTCCTTCTTGCTTGCGCCGACGGACTTGCATGTGTCCTCTAGAGTGGAAGCCTCGGAGGAGACGAGGACGAAGAGGAGCACGAGGAGACAGGAGGGAGCTTGCCAATGCCTCATCATGGTTTTTGGCACGACTATAACAAATCGTTTGTAGATGGTGCATATATATAGCCATGATTGATACAAAAATACCCCATGAGTATATCAATCTTCCAATTTGAACAAACCAATGAAAAAGGTATGTATTGCAAATATATTATGTTCTGCTATTAATAAATTACTCCCCCGATCCATATTAATTATCGCCGATTTAGTCCAAAGTTGTATTAAATCACCGAGAATTAATATGGAACATTACTCTCTCCGATCCATGTTAGTTGTTGCTCATTTAGTATAGAGTTGTACTGAATCACTCAGAATTAACATGGATCATTATTGTCTCCAATCCATGTTAATTGTTGCTCATTTAGTATAAAGTTGTACTTATCACTAAGAATTAATATGGATTGGAGGGAGTAATTATGTTTCCCTTTTCAGAATTTTTCAGAAATTATTTGATATTTCAAAAAAATGTTCATGTTCTCGAATATTGGTTTGAATTTTGAAAAGTGTTCTAAGTTTTAAAATTTGTTTGCAAATTCAAAAAAAGTGTTTCATAATAGTTTGGGAAATTCAAAACATGATCATGTTTTCCAAAAAAATGTTCTCCTTTTCCATAAAATCCAAATTTTGGATGAATATCCTGATTTTTAAAAAATCCAAAAATTTTGAAGAGAAAATTTGACTTTCCAAAATATGTAATCTTTTCGCTACAATTCCCGCTCCGGCGCCATTGGGCCGACCTAGTCAGGGTTGCCATGTGCATTTCGACATCTTTTTGTGTCGCAAAAAGCGAGGACCATGTCCTCTCCAGTCCCGACGACATGAAGAGCCCAACCTCCGCTGGGCCACGATCATCATGATGTTGTTGCCGCTGCCGCCAGCTGCGGCGCCATACTAACATCCACCCTCAACAGCCCAAGACTTCCTGTCGCCAGCCCTACCTCCGCCCGGGTTGCCTTGCCCCACCACCAAGTTTTGAGAGATAACTATTTATATCTACAATATCAAATATATAAAGTATGAAAGTTCATCTTATAATGAATGCAATAATTATGTAAGTTTGGCATTCTAGATGTAAATATTTTTCTCCACAAATCTGGTCAAAGTTTCCGATGCTTGAATTTTCAAAAATATATATGCACTACATTACGGAATAGAGGGAGTACTCAATTTCATTTTTATGGTATATGTACTGATGTATCTTTGTGTTGGGGGAAATATGTACTTCATTATCTTGTAAAACATCTTTTGCATAAAAAAATTAGTCAGCGTGCGCATCTAATATCATGGCATGATATATCCAAAGTAATCACAAACATTAATGTTTGATATCCATTTAGTCAATCGCCACGATCATATGCAAATTGTGTGAGGTTAATGTATGGTTGCTATTTCCGTTCACCACAAAATCAGTTCTTACCAAAAAAACCTGCCAAAACGTACTTGCAAAGTTCATTGATCTAAAATCTTGGGTTCCAATATTTTATTGTTGCTCGATCCAAATGATCATGAGCTCGTTGCTAGAACTTTTAAAACTAATCTACTTAAACTTTATAAGTGCTCATCGTACACTTAAAAAATGTCCATCAGTGTAGAAATTTTTTTGCACAATTTTTAAAACATATGTTTGTATCATTCAATAAAAAATTTAGTGACATTTAAAAAATAGTCATGTCTTTCGAAAAATGTTTGTGACATTTAGAAATAGGTTAATAAAATGTAAAAGTAATGATAGTGTAACTTTGCAGAAAATGTTTCATAAAAAGACCCGAGCCTCTGCTGGGCCACGACCATCATGATGTTGTTGCCACCGCCGCCTGCTGCGGCACCATACTAACATCACCCTCAATTGCCCAAGACTTCATGTCAGTTGGTAGCAGTGGCATGCAGACTTGTCAAGGCCAAACGAATGAGAAATCAACCGACTTGGTTATAAATGGTATTTGTAAGGCCAAAATTTTGGCTTCGTTACAATCAAGGCCAAAAAATTGAGGTGGAAGACCCAAAAGTTTTGGTTTTGTTACAAACAAGGCCAAAATTTTGACAAGTCGTGCGGATTTCCACTAGAAATTTCAGCAGCATAACACATTGGTGGAGAATCAAAATCACCGTGTCGTTCATTGCAGAATTCATTCATGCACTCTCAAGTCAAGGGCGTGTTTGGCTGCTTTCACTGTCGGGCCTGGCTCAGAGGGGGAAAACGAGCCAGGCTGAGCTGGGCCTGGATAAGTAAAAACAGGGTCAAAAAACATAGATTACCAGTTGATTGGTTGCCTACATTGGGGGTCTTGTCATCAAGATGCAATTTTCACCCGGCGTTTGGTTGCATACATGCATATGATTACCGGCGTTTGGTTGCATACATGCATATGATTACCAGCGTTAACAACAAAACTTAACAGCCATCAGGTTGGGCTTGACATTTCGTCAAACACTTTGAGCGCGCCGGAGCTTCCACTGCCCATCGTGCCCACCACCAGCTCCCGGCGACCGTGGACGCGCCCGACTCTCTGTCGTGGCCGTGGCCGCGCCCGGCTCGCCGCGGTCGTGGACGAGCTTGAGCAGACTCAGGCGGAATCAAACACGCCTTCCGCTTGTATCAGAATCAATCCAACCGGAACACCGAAGAGGCGAAGACCAACGATGGATGTCACCCTGGTGAAGCAACTCAGGCGGATCCGCACGCTGGGCCGCAACTCGCTGTCGTGGTCGTGGTTGCAGCGCCATTCCCGTCACGGGATGCGGTCGCCGCCGAGTGAAAGTGCAACTATCCCTGGGTGGTTTTGGTAATTCCTAACAACATATAGCTCATTGAGCTAATGCTATTTCAAGATAAATACTTCAGGAAAGCTCAATGTTCCGCGTGGCATGGATTAGAAAAGTGGACCCCTCAAAATGCAAAGGACAGAAGGATTGGCTCAAGCTCAAAGCACAATACTCTACATTTTTCATTTTAGTGATCCAAGATCACATTGAGTCCATAGGAAAAACCAATACTATTAAGAGGGGATGAGGTGTTGCTTAATGGCTTGCTTGCTCAAAGTGCTTAGTGATATGCTCCAAAGCCCTCAACCACTTTCTCACATCCACATATGTACCAAACCAAAAAGTCAAACTCGGCCCCACCGAATCTTTCTATCCGGCGCCACCGAGTTCTCTTGACATAGCCATTGCCAGAAACCCTAGTCTTTTCAGTCTCACCGATAGGGATCTCGGTCTCACCGAGATGGGATTGTAATCTCTCCGTTTCCCTTTGTAACGTTTCGGTCCAACCGAGATGAGCGATCGGTCCCACCGAGATTGCAATGCAAACTCTCTGTTTCCCTTTCGTAACGTTTCGGTCCAACCGAGATGAGCGAATCGGTCCCGCCGAGTTTGCCTGACCAACTCTCTGGTTAGTCTATTACCAAAATCGGTCCCACCGAGTTTGTATAATCGGTATCACCGAGATTACGTTATGCCGTAACCCTAACGAAATCGGTCCCACCGAGTTGACGTGTCGGTCCCACCGAAAATCCTAACGTTCACATTTTGAACTAAATCGGTCTGACCGAGTTCTCTGAATCGGTCCCACCGAGTTTGGTGATTTGTGTGTAACAGTTAGATTTTGTGTGGAGGCTATATATACCCCTCCACCCACTCTTCATTCGTGGAGAGAGCCATCAGAACATGCCTACACTTCCAACATACATTTTCTGAGAGAGAACCACCTACACTTGTGTTGAGGTCAAGTTATTCCATTCCAACCACATAAATCTTGATCTCTAGCCTTCCCCAAGTTGCTTTCCACTCAAATCTTCTTTCCACCAAATCAAATCTTGTGAAAGAGAGCTGAGTGTTGGGGAGACTATCATTTGAAGCACAAGAGCAAGGAGTTCATCATCAACACACCATTTGTTACCTCTTGGAGAATGGTGTCTCCTAGATTGGTTAGGTGTCACTTGGGAGCCTCCATCAAGATTGTGGAGTTGAACCAAGGAGTTTGTAAGGGCAAGGAGATCGCCTACTTCGTGAAGATCTACCCGAGTGAGGCAAGTCCTTCGTGGGCGGCGGCCATGGTGGGATAGACAAGGTTGCTTCTTCGTGGACCCTTTGTGGGTGGAGCCCCCCGTGGACTCGCAACTGTTACCCTTCGTGGGTTGAAGTCTCCATCAACGTGGATGTACGATAGCACCACCTATCGGAACCATGCATATTCTTGGACATAACCCGGCCTTTGGGCTATTGTGTGTATTGGCTTGCAAGATGAATTCTTTGATGGGAGAGAACCAAACCGTGAAGCTACCGCGGAAGAGTTGAAGATGCTGCAATACAATGCTCAAGCTTGTGATATTCTCTTCAACGGATTGTGCCCCGAAGAATTCAACAAAATCATCCGTCTTGAGCATGCAAAGGAAATTTGGGATACTTTGATTGATATGCACGAAGGTACCGAGTCCGTCAAGGAAACCAAATTGGATGTGCTTCAAAGTCAACTTGACAAGTTCAAAATGAAGGATGGTGAAGGTGTCGCTGAAATGTACTCTAGGCTTGCTGTCATCACAAATGAGATTGCCGGCTTAGGAAGTGAAGAGATGACCGATAGATTCATCATCAAGAAGATCCTAAGAGCCTTGGATGAAAACTATGATACCGTGTGCACATTGACCCAAATAATGCCCAACTACAAAGATCTCAAGCCAACAGAAGTCATTGGAAGAATTGTTGCTCATGAGATGTCACTCAAGGATAAGGAAGAGCTCCACAACAAGTCATGAAGGAAATATGCCCTAGAGGCAATAATAAAGTTATTATTTATTTCCTTATATCATGATAAATGTTTATTATTCATGCTAGAATTGTATTAACCGGAAATATAATACATGTGTGAATACATAGACAAACAGAGTGTCACTAGTATGCCTCTACTTGACTAGCTCGTTAATCAAAGATGGTTATGTTTCCTAACCATGGACAAAGAGTTTTTATTTGATTAACGGGATCACATCATTAGGTGAATGATCTGATTGACATGACCC